CTACTCCAGCTCAAACCAGCACAGGGTTTTACTGTTATGCATCATGCTGACCTTTGCTATCTCATCCAAGGTTTTACCCAGGGGCAGTGCTCCTGGCAAAAACAAGAGCCCTACCTGTCTCCTGCCCTTGCTAGTAAATATATTGCTTACAGATTAATCCAGAGACTATGCACTTGCACTGAAACACTGAAAGAGATTATAAGCTTTCCTTGACAATAAATTCTTTCTGCATGATGGTACAGTAGATCCCTTTAACAGGTTGTGCTTTGGGCATGTTGACGAGGGTGTAATGCAAATTAATAGTAAGTATTTACAACTGTTCAATTTGGGTTCTTTTTTCCTTGTAGCTTTTCATATCTTTGTATAATCAAATCAGGTGAAATTTATTACATGGAATAATGAAATTTTAGGATGACATTAATCGTATCATTCAGGCAACTTGCTCTGCAATTTGTAGAGTATACTCTAATCACCAGGCAGTGTTTGCAGTGTTCTGAACAGAGACTGTTGCCTTCTTCCAGATCCCTGAGAAATCTGCTCGATGGGGAGATGGAGCATTCTGCAGCACTAAGGCAGGAAATGGACAACTGGAGGAGGAAAGTAGCAGAACAGGAAGAGCGACATGCCACAAAAGTCCAAGCCTTGGCACGGTAAGAAGTGCTGAAAACATCTCAAAAGTAACTGCAGTGGAACAAGGGAATAAAAAGTCTGAGTGCAAGAAAATTAATTTTCAAGTAGTCTAGTTTTCAGAAGAACCCATAGACCTTAGTTGAATTTAAGCTGAAAAAAGGGCTTTGGAAGCTTTTCTGAAAGATTTAGTGAGTTTATGGTTTTTGTTTTGTCAGGTAATAACAGTAAGCGAGAGTTTAATGTATTCGTGAAATCACTGTTATAGCTCCAGAGGAAAGAATCATAGTGAGCTGAACTTAAGACAAAATCAAGGTTAATTAAAAAAAGTAATTAGACTAATATGAAGAAAAATAAGCCATGAAAATAGTGACAGTTAGATAATGAGCCTAGATACAAAGAAATAAATATATGTGTAAGGTAAATGTAAGAAGACTCTTCTCTCTTCACGTATCTATTTTGTCGAATTCTACTCCTCCTCTTCCTTTTTTTTTAAAAATTGTGTTTTACTTGATATTTGAGAGTCATGAAGTACCACAGCTGAGATTCCTGAATCTTTGTATTGCATAGCAGAACTAGTATTTGAAAATGATAAATACAAAGCTTTCTTAAAAAAAAAAAGTTTGTTTAGAATGCTACTAACTCTGCTTTTGATGCCACATCAAACCAAACTACTCACTTTGAGGGAGTGAGAGTTATGGGTAAGTGGGTTTGACATGCATGTGCTGTAAGGCAATAGAAACAATGCAAATACTTAATCATTTCAGGTTATAGGAGTTGTATATTCATATTTCTTTGACTCACCTCCCCCACAGTTTGAGAATTTGCAGTGACATATGGGTGAATCAGATATTTGTCATGCACATACCTTTTTAAAGAACAGAAAAGGAGCTTTTATAACAAGATCTGAAGAGATGCTCAGTTAGACTAACTAGTTATTTTTAAACAAGTTTATGTAATTTCTCTTATTGCTACAGTGACTGTGTATGTTGTGTTGGTTGCTCTTCTGAAAGTCAGTTTGCCTTGTCATGTGATAAAAACAGCATTGGGAGCTGCTTGGGCACAACAAATTTGTGTGTCACCAGTTACTTTGGACTTGGGATGCATTTCTGTAATGATTCATTGCAACTCATTTTCTAGCATATTAATGTAAGGAACTTTGCATGTAGTTGTTTTGGAATATAGTTTTTTTTGTTGGTTGACATTGTACACTGTAGGTGATGCTGCTGCAGTAGTAAGAGTAGTAAAATTTTTGGATAAATAATATTTTAAACCAAGAAGTTGGGCAAGCTGAAACAATTTGAAGTAACAAAAATTTGTTTGTGGGTGCTGCAAAACACACTAAATGAGTAAGAGGAAACTAAGCTTCAGGTATTTTGAGGTAGTGAAATCTCACAGTTTACCTTGAAAACAATTGATCACATGACTAGAGTAGATAATTTTCCTCAATTCTAATATACTGAGTATTTTAAGGCAAGGAGAATCATTCAGTAACAATCTGACTGTTGTGATTTGATGAATAAGCATTTTGCAGATTAGGAGAGCTGATATTTGTGTATTTCCCAAGAGCTCTTTTGAAGAATTTGTCATAAATATCTTCCTGAAGGCTTTGAGAACACAAATTTCAGTGCCACATGAGTCAGAGCTGAAATGATGGCTTCTGGATATCTGCAATTATTCACCTGGTCTCCTGGATTCTCTGAGGAGGCTCTGGTCTCCTAGACATAATGCTAGTTTACTGAGAGAAGTTTTCACAAGTTTGCCAAGATTTCTTTGAAGAAATGAAAAAAAAATTATAGGTTATTTTAGTTTCAAGTAGTGGTAATCTCATTCTTCCATGTGAAATATTTGAATAGCTCTTTCATAGCAGTTATTATATTGTTTCAAAAGGAGGAGTCTCAGCAATCAACCTATTTCCTAGTCTTCCCATAGAACAGACTCAATAGACTCTGTAGTATAATGTTGTCATCTGTTTTTTTGTTGTTTTTTTCCCTTTTGTCCTCATCAATGAACCTTTCTCAAATTGCATGGACATATTGTGCCAGTGGCTTCTTGGCAATACAGAAGAATTTTAATTGAGATTCTTTTTTTTTTTCCCTGTATGGAATACTATTATATCTCTTTGCAAGGTGAAGAAATTTATTGAAGTTGACTGTGAAATTGGATAATCTCAGATTGCATATTCTTAGACTATATTCAGCAACGATGGAAGGAAGCATATTACAAAGGCTTTGTAGCAAGAAAAGCAGAGA